TTAGATATTAGGAACTATCTTTGTTAAAATGCGTGATAATACAAAGACTTTTTATGTTTTATTATGTATATATATATATATATACCACGTGGCGTATATTTCTGGTGATTGTGTAATAACTTATAGAAGTAAAAATGAGAAAACAGCGCGTCAGTGATGAATCATGGAAACTTTTCAAAAGAAACCGAAAATTACGTTTCATTTATTTTTTTTCAACTACTGTGTATAGCAAAAAAAAATGAAAAATATCCATGTACGTTGCTCAAAATATTTATTAGTTTTCTCGATTATCCATGAAAATCTATTTGATTTTCCTTTGACTTCGTTTTTTCTTTGATCTGATATTAAATAAACAAAGAAAAAAAACTAAGATCAATCGTTTATACACATTAGAAAACGACATACGTGCTTCTATAAAGCAGGTGTTTACTCAAACGTACAATGAACCAGACGGTATTCGAGTTTCAGTTGAATACTAAATGCAGTGTGAGATGAATAGCTAAATTCGCATCCACACCCTTCTTTCTAATATTTTATGGGAATATGATTTAAAGTCAGTAAAATAAATGTAATGGTCAGTTTTTTTTTTGTATAAGTATCACTAAAAAAACTCAAAATCGATTACTAAAAGACTAAATTCTATCAGCCAAAAAAAAAATAAATTTTATTCGTATAAAGATTAATTTATTACAAAGAAAATAAATTAAAAGCCGATAGAATGAAGAAGAAATCCAAAAGATTATTAATAGAAAGTGACAGAATGAGTGGACAAAAGAAAATTCAATTGTTGCACTAAGAGAGCAGGTTAAATCTTTGCTGATCCTACCTCTTCAACTTTTTCTACCGATCAGCACTAGTTCGAATATGAATCTAGGTAAGGGTGTGAGTGTGGGTGTCGATGTGGGTGTGGGTCGGTATGGATATGAGTGCCGGTATCGGTGTCAGTGTGAGTGTGGGTGTGGGTATGGATGAATAAGAGATCTAGACCCACACCCACACCCCCAAACCTCCTCGTTTCGGACTCTGGTTATTGCGTATGTCGTTGCTTCCCCGACACCAACGCCATGTATGTTGGCATCTATTGAGTCAATATCTCCTCTATCTTTTATATCTTGGATTGGTCTATAACTGTTCCCTGTCCTATATCTTCTTTGCTGCTAAATGATTGAGGTTTGAAGAATATCCGTAGAAAATATCATCTGATCAACTCCAAAGATATAAGCTTCAATTCTAACTAGTTGTCTGAATAAAGTAAATTTCCTGATCCAACGTAGCCCAATTCAAAAGATATACACTTGATTTCTATATGCTATTTATTTTAAAAATTGAAAAAAGTACAGATTAGTATGAAAAAATAGTGCATTAGTACTGTTATAAAGAAGAACTAATAAAATATATAATTAATAAATTATTTTAAAAATTTTGCTGACAAGATATTCAATATTTTCTGTATATCGTTCACTGTATTGTTTATATTCGTGTTCATCTCAATAAGTTTTTCTTCTATGTTATCAATTTTAACTTTCATTGTCTTCAATTGTTCTTTAGTTTCATATGTTTGAGCATTTGTTTTACGTTGCATAGTTAGTAGATCGATTTGATCAATACAATTGTCAATTAATTTTCCTCGTTCTTGTTTAACTTGTTGAACCAAATGTATTGCTTGAAATAGTCGTCGTCGTACTTGAAGATATCGAATAGATGATAACGATATATTTTTATTTTTCATATACCAAACTTTTACTGCAAATTTAACAATATTTGCTGCTTGTATTTTGTGCTCTTTTGCCAATTCAATATTCATTACAAAATTATGCACATATTTTTCGCATCGATCCAATAGAAGTTGTTGTGCCAGAACAGCAATAACAAGAGCAGTAGAAAAGACACCAACCAAACTGATTATAGCAGTAATACCTAATCATGATAGAAAACAAAAAAAAATGAAAGTTTAATTCTTAGATAAAAATTAAAGAGATTGTCTTTTTTTCATGAATTATTATTTTATTTACTTCGTCCACAATATGTAGATGGTGTAAAATCTCCATACCCAACAGTAGTAAATGTTACAACGAATAACCACATTGAATTGAGAAACGATACATGTTCATTGGTTGGTAAATAATTACATGCACGTAAACACCAACTTCCAACAAAGTGTCGTTAAACAACCTATCGGCCATTGTTCAAGATAAGTTTTAATAAGAAACAAGAAATCAATTGATATTTTATTAAGATAACCAACAGATCGTGATGATGAATCACGAAATAGATGAGAATGAAATACAATTGAACGACAAATCAAATAAAAACGAGCAAACACTATCAATATACTTAGTTTTAAATTTGATAAATAGAAACAACATATTAATACTTACTTGGTAAACCAAGTGCCACATCGATATCTATATAAGACAAAATATAAGGAGTAGATATGGATGAATTTGAATCTATATTTTTTAATGATGCTTTCAAATAAGGAGGAGTAGAGTGAGGTACAGGATGTATAGCACATATCAATATTTCAAGTATAATTAAAAATATTTTTCTGTTTGTGAGTGTAGCACGACTATCTTGAATTGAATTATTAACAGCATAGAGAAATAACTTTAAACGATGATATTGAAAGATAAATCCAATGAGAATAATCGTTGAACAACTAATAACTATTTTGATACACCAACTCGACATGGTATCATTATTATTGATTTGTGAAAATTTTATTTCATTTTCAATAATCATAAGAATAATGCCCAAAATACCAAGAAAACACATGATATCAGTTACGAAAGAACTAGAATATAAAAAAAATAATAACAAAACAACAAACAGATATATTTCATACAGTCGTTTATGTAAGTTTTTTCGTATGGCTAGTCGACGACTGATGTTAGATAATAGTATATTATCGGCAATCTTTTGTTTTTTAACACTTCTTGGATGAATTTCTTTGTTGTTGGAAACATTTGAATTAATATTAATCGTCGTTGTAGAAGGTAATATAACTATATCCAGCGAATCACTCAGTTTAGTAGCCGATGAAGAATCAGCTTCAATGGGATTAGTTAATGATATACAAGTATCCTCAATATTAGCCATCTTTGATTTATCTGAAATAAATAAATACAATATATTAAGACTAGAATATATAATAACAAGCTTATTAGTATATTACATCAATATATTTTAAGGCTTTCTTTTTCACACCAGATTGAATAGATTTAAAGTGTAATCAAAAATGTATCGTAAAGATGCCTTGTAGAAGTATTCTGTGTTAATATTCTTTTTCTATTATGAAATTATTTTATTAAAAGAGAAATAAAATTTTTCTACTTATAAATTTTGAACAACTTTTTTTCTTACATCAATGAAACGCATTAGAATGTGATTGATTGTAAAAATAGATAAAAAATGTAGTACTACATCCTCCATATAAATGTGTCTCACCTGTGAAAATACAAAAATGCAAATGAAATTGTATGACTTGTATGATATTTTCTTATCTCTAAGAAACACACTAGTAACATAGATTCGTTGAAAATTTTTAGCATTGACACAGTTTCGTTCTTTAAGTAAACTCAACAAACTAATTCATGAAATCTATGACTATTGAATGTTATTCATTAAGAGAAAATTCGTACTTTCGTTTTTCGTCTGTAGAATGAATTTGATTAGAATGTTTCGAAAACAGATTTGTAGTTCTCTTATTACTAATACTTTGTCTGTCGATGACATTCAAATTCATCCTAGAGGTCATCCATATACAAAGTACATCTATCGATAAAACATGAAAGCGAAGTTAGCGCCTGATTCGAGCTTTTCTCGGGACGATTCGCCCAGACGTCTGTGCCAACCATGAGATGTTGTGAGTGAGATACCGCTTGATGAGTTCTATCAAATAGCATATTTAAATTTTAAGGAAATTTACGACAGAAAAGAGTAAAAGCAAAACTATTATTTTTCACCACAGGGAGAAACAAAACAAAATAGTTTTCCTTGAAATTATTCGATTCAGAGACTGTGCCACTTTTGAAATCTGCATACATCGACGCAACTCGACTTGCTCTATCAAATGATGTCCATGACGTTATCATTAATGAAAACAATCAGACCTTGAGATTTTAAAAACTCTCTAAAAAAGGATTTTGCCAAGATTTCCATCGAACGATTCGCTCCACAGCTTGTGCCAGTGCTAAAATGGATGTCAATCGGCTCCTCTTTATCTGTTCTATTCATTGGTATATTGTTTCATATGAGTTAGTTCATTCTTTCCAAGATAAGGTCTTTGAGATAGACTTTTGAAGAACCTTGGATATGCTTTTTGTTTCCCGATTCGTTCCACAGCTTGTGCCAGTGCTGAAATGGATGTCAATCGACTCCTCTTTGTCTGTTTTATTTATTGGTTTCCTACTTGATAGGAATCAGTGTATTTTTTCCTAGATAGGGTGTTTCAAATAGATCTTTATAATAGAAAATAACAAACTGTATTTCTAAATCATAATGGATTGTTGTATGGTCATTTAACCGTATTAACAACGTTCTGTTTCCATATAACTACACCGGTTTTCTTCATGTCTGTAACACTGCAGAAATTTAATCATTAACAGTCAGATCCCGATAGCATTCATTTGTTGCATCTAGTCCAAAAAGTGTAAACACTTACCGAGCACTCTGTATTGCAGTGAGGTAAAACTGACTTCCGCCTCCTCCCGAGCCTATTGGAATGACCCACATCTGGAAAAGTACTATACTCTGAATGCAATAAACAATCCTGTAGCCAAAAAAGTCATAAACAAAGATTATACAAAACGCTATCATCATATAGACAAAAGCACATAGAAAATAGAGCGTAGGTGTGGGTGTGTGGGGTGGGTATGCCTATGAGGGTGTTGTGAAAATAGTATCATTTATCTACCCACACCCACTTCTCCCTTTCTTTCACATATATGTATGATTTGCCATTTTTACCGTTTCCTATATTTTCTAACACAAAAAAATATAATATTTATTCCATTGATGACAATATATTGACAGTACGTACAACAGTACGTATGTTTCAATTACTGATAAGAATAAATCTGCATTAATTTCAAAAATATCCAAAGTAATGCACAAATAACAGAAAATAACTATTGGTGACTTTTATATTCAATGGGACGAAAAAGAACTTAGTAAGTACTACGAAAGTTCAAACTGAATATAAACAACATCAGCGCATACAAATTGAAATCAAGCTTTTTAGCGTCAGTTCTTCTTATTATCAGACAAAAGAGAAAAAGAAATTGATTTAATATATGAATAGCTTTTCTGTACAATCAATATGTATTCAGTTTCTTATGAAAACAGATAAACATAAATATTTCAAAGGAATAATGACGATAGTAGACATAATTAATATTTCTAAATAAAGGAAAACAAAAACCTATTTATCATTATTAGTTATTGAATAACGATGTGATAACAGTATAGCGGAATACAACTACAAAATATATATCATTTGATTAGAAAATTAAATCATAATCAAGACCCATGTATAAAAAGCATTAGTTTTGTCTTTTTAAAATGAAAATATTATAGTTAAATGAATAGCAATTCATGAAAATCAGCAGTTATCATGATTATTTTTGTTATTGATAATAAAACTCCTATCCAAATCCTTGTCAGTCGATAGCTATTCATCTCAAGAAAGAAAATATTAACTCGACATACATTATGTCTTCGGCAACTTCAAATGAAAGATTCACCTAACACTGGTTATAGTGATCTATTGCTCCTATCGTACCCGAGTAATATCTATAAAAAATAAGAAATAATAACGATATTCATAACATTTGTAAAAATAATTACTTATACTTTAACTTAATCATATATGAATATATGACAGGTGATAATCATTCTAAATGATACGTTTTGAATAAAACAAATGAGAAATAGCGACTTTTCTCTTTTGAAAATTATTTATGCGAATCTTTCAGTAAAAAAGATAGTTAATGATGCTTAGCTTGCAATCATCAAATGGAATATAATATAAGAAAATGATAAAAATTTATTAACTACATATAACAGTACTCGGTGTATAG